CAGATATCGTTTCTGCTCTCGCACTGGCCAAAATCGAAACTCCTGATCGTAGCTTCGTCTAACATGATCACATAAAAGGCGAAGAGTAGATCTTGAGTAATCCTCGTCGTTCGTCCGAACTCCATTTCGTATTTTGTTATCGGCAGCTGAGTCACAACGTGTTTTGGTGAAGATGCAATACGTCTCGTCCGTATTTATGAGCAGCGTGACCTCAAGGCATGGTAACGGATTTCCCAAAAGCTGTGAGGTTTCCAAGATCAAATTTGTAATACAGCAGCCCAACTCCTTTCAGGAATTTTGTCACGTCTTCTATTGTCATCGGTCCTTGGAAAAGCAATTTTCAAGTTTGCAGTTCATTTCCGACGGCTTTGTGGAAGTGACATCTCGACAATTGTCAAGAGTCGCAAAAAAAGAAAAAAAGAAAAAAGAACTCTCTTAGAAGCAACGACGAAGCCTTAATATGTTCTTTTCCTTCGAGTGAATGGAGAGAAAACGGTGTACTACTCGAATGTGAGCGCCGCAAATTCGTTTCTTGTGTCTGCCGGATTTGATGCCTGAATTTTAATGTCAGCGTTATTTGCTTCCGTAAAAACAAGAGACGCGATTCAAAACGAACAAAAACAGAGGCGATACTCGACACCTAAGTTGTGTGTACTGCATTAGCTTGCTGCTGAAACTGGAGTGCTCGCTGACTGAACAGGGGTCACGCCCGTGATAGAAGAAGAAAGACGTGTATAAACAAGGCAAATCAAGACGCCAAAAGTTTTTTTTTTTTTTTTTTTTCGAGCTTTCTGCATTTCTTGGCAGTAGGCAAAGTCGGTTTAAGTACCATCGGGATGGCGCGGAAGCGCGTCGAGTGGCCTTGCGAAAACGCGTTCACAAATAAGGGAGGGAGGTTCCTCGAGTGGCACTCACGGGCCCCAAAATACCGGTTAAGATGCTACTTTACATGTTGCGCCATCTCACGGCGCTTTCCGGAAATGGAAGCGAACCTTCACAACATTTGCTTTATGGCAAGACGGCACCTCACCTCTCACTTCTTTCCGCCGTAGTTGAACTTCAACGCCGACGGAGTACTCGTGGCCAACCTGTGCCCGGTGGAGGCCTCCGAAAGCTGACATGTGTTTCCTTAAAAAAGATGATTGCTGAATCGTTTTGTTTTGTTCTCCAAGAGCACAAACATGATCTAGTATACAACCTGTGCACTAGCGCTTCGATCCCACTTTCGACGGTCCACATAAACCGGGTTCTTACCGCAACGCGCTAAGATTTACTACAGAGGTGCCCGAAGGTGGTGGAAGCTTTCACTAAAATTTTTAAAAGATTGGCCCACTTGAAGAAATAACAAAAAATCCAATTGTTCGACCACCTTTCTATGTATCATCCTGATGTTAAAAAAAACTACGACTTTTTATACTTTGCATTCACACTTAAAATTATTTTTGTCACTTTGGCGCTTTTAGGGTTAAATGAAGTGAAGAATAAGGAAGCCGATTGTATTTGGTTTCCATTTTACAGATTTTGTCACTCGTAATAAATAATAGAATATCCCGAAACAATTCTTTTTTTTTATGATTTTGAACGAAAAAAATAGGCTTAGCGGTAATTTTTGCATAGGCAAAACCAGTTTTTATTTTTTTGAACTTTCACTCCAGAGGTTTAATGTATTGATACCCTTGAGTAATGAATGTACCATATACGGGCACCACGTAATAGATCCCAACGCGAAAGGTGGAGAAGCCGATGTTTGTGGACCGTCTAAAGTAAGATCGAAATCATAGTGTGCACGCGGTAGAACATACAACATCTCAGATGTATCGTTTATTCAAAACTCTGCCATGTGCCTTTATTACACAAAGTCCTCATGGCACTTCGGAAGCTGAACTGTGATATGAGGAGAAATCACCGGGTCGGAAGGCCCTTGCCCTTGCAGGCTTGTACACAGGGCCGGGTACAAGAGCGTTCGGTATCTTTTGCTGGCATCAAAAAATTTGGCCGCGTCGTGTTTTAACTTGTAGCCAATGCCACCGAGAGCCGCCAAAGCCTCAGAACGCTGAAGTCGTGTGAAGGTAATCCAATACCATGAGGGAGACACACAATGCTTTTTCATGCCAAATTTGTCCAAGTGGGAAAACTCATATAGTTATACAATAAAATGACCTATATGGGTTAAAAAAAAAAACGGGCACTCGCCAGAGTTGGTTTAGAATACTCTTCCTGTGAAGCATTTTAGTTCCACGTTTCTGTACAAACGTAATTATTACTTTTGACTCTAGTTTCGAAATTGTCAGTTATACAGACGATACAAATATAATTATTTTCGATACGAACAGTGAACAACTTATTAACAAAACGAACAGTGTTCCAAATAAAAGCTTGGAGTAAGAAAAAACTACTATTATAGCTACATTCAAGAACTCAACTGAACTTATACGTTCCCCTAAAATAGGGCCCTGACTATATCCACTTTGAAGATCACATAAAAAAACTCCGTTTAATTTTTTTACAACTAGTCTTGAAATAAGCACATTGCATACGTTCGTATTACACTTTAAAAACTGTTAGGCCTAAGAGCTAAATACAAAAAAAAACATTTTACAAAGAAGTATAGATCTCCCCAGTTATGAATCAGTTTTCTATCAGAGCTTATGCTACTGGAATTTAGACTGGGGAATAACTGGTTTAACTAATTTAAGGGTATGCTTCCGAGAATTAGCTATTGTTCTTTTAATTTCTGCATCGTTTATTTGTTTTAGAAGTGAGCTAAAAGCCTATAACCTCTGTATAAAAAGGTATTCCCAGCGCTTAATATTAATATGTCAGTCTGTTATAAAAGGTAAACTTGAAATCTTTCTAAATCTGGATGGCCTTCTTTTCCACAATTCAGTACATCCAACTCTTCAGATATATATATATATATACATTCATGTTATATTCCTAACTGGCGCGCTAACTTTGGCGATCAATGAGTTTAATATACAGTGTCTGAACTACTAAATCACCTAGCGTCCCTAAAAAATTATGTTATCTCACTAAAGAAAACCTGCTACACTCAACATTCTATAAAAGCGTACATCGTCTGAATAATTTATTTAAAAATTATTATTAATTTTGATATTTTTAATGAGCACGTTCTCGTTGTTTCCCTTGTAGGTTTATCCAGGGCTCGTCAATCTGCATAAAGACCTCTTTTTCCTTTGGTGCCCCCCCCCCCCATTGTTAATGATTGGGCGGGGGGGGGGGGGGGGGGAGGGCACCCTTTCTATAGGTTCAGAGTAGAAACCTTTCAAGTCTGGCGGGCGCCTCGTCAGACATTTGAAAATTCATAATATTGGTTTCAAGCCTACAAGGGTTGAAGTGTTTCTACCCTGAACTACCATCGACGCTCCCTCCACCACCTCTGCTAAGGCGGCATTGTTTGAATAGTTATACGAACAAATACATTCGGGTAGGCCATCTTAATGCTTTTATAATCTCAATGTATATACCTGTAAAAAGGAATATGCTAAGTTGTTATGCGGAGAGCAGGTGGTCTGCATCTTGCGAAGGATTTACGGCGACGTCAGAACGACGCAGAGATCTGATTGGCTTTGATCGAAAGGATATTGGATAGACCTAAATGCTAAATATGTTTAAAATGTACCCACCCCTTTTTTCATTCAACCAATAAGAGTTTGGCGTACTGACGTCATCGAAACCCATGTGAAAGAAGCAGAGCTTACGCTTCGCATTGCTACATTATTTTAAATAGCGAATGTTTATCGTCGCTCACGGCTTCCTTCGGTAAAATGCATGGATTGGGTGAAAGTGAGCTGCTGATCAGTAAACGAGCACAAAAAAGGCACCTGCATGAAGAATGGTACACTTTCTATTAACTGTGTATTTTAAAAGTGACTTCTAGTTGCAGGTGGCTAGTGGCTACTGATGTCCGTGTAAGAAGTTAGAACATAGTTTACATTTTCTAAGATTGCCTCCGACTTAGACGACTGTTTTAAGCCAATGCCACGTAGAACACGTGACCTGCTCATTATAGGTCATCTTTAGTCAATCTCCGACGCGCGCCGAGTGGTAAGAACGCAGAAGCTTCACAAGAGACACCGCAAAACGGCAGGCACTCCCATCTCGGTGTTACCGCGTGCTAGCGTCGCGCGTCGTCAGATGCTACAAGACGTGCTGGTGACGATGCTGACGCAACCGGCGCGGTGCTACGCAGATCTACGATGACGTTCGGGGAGGAAACACGCAAGCATTCCCTTCTGCATGGTATTGGTTGAGGCGAGGGATCCTCTTTGACGTAGTTATTGAGAGGTGGCGCCACGTCTCTCTAAAGGGGCACTCAACTTCCAAGAATTCTTTTTTTTGATCGCCCGAATACAGGACTTATATTTTACTCACAAGAAAAACGTTAACCGAGTAACCCCATCATATCTACGTAGCGACCATCAGTTTGAATTAGGAGCTATTGCATAACGTGCTTCGGTTTTTAGGGGTCCATATCTCACAATAAATTAATGGGATGGATGATTGGGAATCGCAGCTAGCTCAAAATCTGTCGGTCAATTTTGATTCCCTCTTAAGAACTAGTCCCTGAGATGCCAATTTTCACCTGCCTTGTTTCTTTTGAACCACTTTTGTACATCCCCATTTGTCAACACGCATCTCACGTAAGCGGCCTCCGAAGTAGAAAAGTTGGAGTGGCAGACAACAGATAAGAAAAGAGCCACGTGACTGGCGCCCCCCTGCGGCGAGACCCCGAAACACACTTCTCCTGAGCGAACTAGAGTTCCTGTATAGGCTCTCTACGGAAGCCAGAGTTGCGCGTTCACCTCCGGAGCACCGGCTTCCCTGCGCGGCATGCGGAGTCTGCTCCTCACGTGACTGAATTCGGCGAATAGCGGCGCCGTGCGTTCGAGGCGCGCGGCGCGCTCAAAAGCAGCCGAACGTACGCCGGTGTGCGTGCGACGTCTTCTTTCCTGCACGACAATAGGCCCTTCCCGAAAGTCAGTCAAGCAACACTGAGAAACCGAAACCGCCGCCATTAGAGCGGCGTCGCACTTGAAGCGGGCTATGGCGGCTATGGCATCTGCCTGTGTAGGTACCGCCGGTACCGCTGACGTCTCATCAGCTTCGCCTTGGAGCATTAGTCTTGTCACGATTCCGCGGAGCTTCAATGAAGAGAAGATTGAGGCCTACCGCGCGTCGAGATTGGCGTCCAGCCGTCAAGTCGTCCGAAGCCAGAAGTTTTTTACCGAGGCCTACCTAGAGCCTTCGTCGATTCGAGTGTACAGGTAAGCATTGAAGCACGCCTGTTTCTTGTCCCCTGTTTCGACCTAAATCTGAGGGAATCCAAAGTTACAAACGTAAGCATCAGGCTGTGAGCGCGCCAGCTACGTGCGCGCGCGCTTGTGTCGTTGAACGCTTCGAAGCGCGTTAGGAATCATGCTTGCATTTCCATCTTCGGCATCTTCCGCACTGGGAAAATATGTTGAAACAAACCATAGTCGTTGCTTTCTCACAGTTTGACATGATGTTGCGAGACTCAGTGGCGTGCGAAGTGACGAGTGGGGGATTGAGTTCAAAACGGAATCGCTCGTGTCGTACGTCTGTTTTGGTCGTGTTGTTTCCAGAGCTGGTGGTTTCCCGTTGACGATTCGGTGTGTTTGCACGATCACGCTCGCGCAAAAGATAGTTCGAGCGAGTGTATACAACATATTTCCAGAGATTTAAGATCATGTCGCTTACTTAAACTATCTATGGAGCACATATGTGTGAACAAAAAGGCTAATGATCACATTTATTTTTATTCATTTCAGCTCACCCACTGGTGTCCACGCCAAAGCAAGTTGCTTCAGGAGCCAAAAGAAAGCAGCAAAGCCTTACCAGGTTTCTGTGAACCTCCTTCAGAGTGGAGTTGTGAAGGGTGCCGACTGTGAGTGTGCAGCTGGCAAAAGTGGGGCGTGCAACCACAGTCTGGCCCTCCTCAAGCTTCTCGCTTTGTTAAGAGCGAAGGACTATGAAGAAGTTCCCCCTGCAGTAGCCTGCACTGAGTTGCCCCAGCAGTGGCGCCGTCCACGAGGGGAAGCAGTTGCCTCCACAAGCGTGCAGTCGGTCGACTGGAGAAGCGTTCGAGAGGACGGGCTGGAAACCCCTATCACGTCCAAGTTGTATGATGCCCAAAGAAACGCGATGCACTTCAGTGATAGAATGGCCTCGATCCAAGCCCTTGGAGAGAGTCTCTATTCAAGTCAAGCCTCGCCCTTTGCAAAGCGCCTCCGAAGGGCAACTGCTGCTGATCCGGTCAAGACGAAGTTTGGCCTGGCTCCGGTTGGCAGTGTCCTGTCCTACCAGCAGGCGCTGGTGCCTTTCGGATACGAGACTTTCATCAGCCCGGAGGTGGGCCATGTCCAGGAAAGAAACCAGGCGCTGCCTTGTGAGCCGACCTTCTTCGACGCCTGCATAAACTGGAAGATGTCTGGGCTGAGCCTTCCCGTGGAACAAGACCTGCTCCTTAAGGTACCATACCTTTTTACACATAGCTGTGTTCTGATGCTTACAACAACACCGTTCATGCGGCAAATATATAAGAAGGAACAAGAAAAACAAAGGCAGACCAAAACAGCCTGAGAGTGTAATCTCCACATCATTCATTTTCAGGTGTTTATTGCAGGTACCAGCAAAGCAAACACCAACAAGTAATATTTGGATGTTCGCTTGCACCTTCGCAATAGATCTTGATATTGTCATGAATGGTGATCAAAACAAACAAAAATAAACAGGAAGGAGACACGTTTGATATGGCGAACTTGGGCTTAAAACAAAGGGTTAAAAAGAAAAGGTGTTGTAAGCGAGCGACGATGTCGGCGAAGAGGCAGAATCCGGCGCTAGCGTAAGACTGACCACGGCTTGCCACGTGGAGCCTCTTTTGTACACGTGTAAAAGGTTTGGCATGTAGAACAATCAGCGTAGAAGGCTTGGCATGTAGAACATTCTAACCACGAATCAGCAACATGGTTCTCGAATTTACCAGAACATCACATTACAGAGTCAACAAAAATGTGTACCTGCGGCCAGGCATCAAACCTTGACTTTTTGCATGGAAGACACGCGCAATAAATGCTAGGCCACGAGCACGCTGCCTACTTGGTCAGCTGCACACACTGCATTATACGATGGTATCGCCTAAAGGGCGATTCACATACTTGCATTGAGTCCGACCGAGTGCGAGGGTTGCTATGACAACAGCTGTGTCGGCTCCAACAAAGCGGGGTAAAAATTGGTTTTGTTGGAGCCGACACAGCTGTTGCCGTAACAACCCTTGTACTCGGTCAAACTCAACGCAAGTGTGTGAATCGCCCTTAGCACCATTCCACTCTAATTTCATAGTTTGCAACCACGCTGGTACCACCTTTCCGTCATTTGCACTATTCGTTTACATGCAAGTGACTTTTCAGTAGTTTTATGTTTTGTGCTTTTAAATATCAGAAGCATGACGAGTGGTTTGACCAACGAGATAACTCAATATGCATGATTGGGGACGTGTTTGGATCGCTAGACTGTTTCTTATTGTGTTTTCTCTTTGGAGTCGCCCAAGTGAATCTGCCAGGGCCATTTTGGCTGCTGATGAGCCTATCGCCCAAACATCAGTAATGGCTGGCATGTGTAAAAATAGAGTACAAGCTGATGTTTCTTTATGTCATTCACTATTCTGGCTGGCACCATTGACTGCAACTCAAAAGAACTTGATGAGTCCGAGTGGTAAAAGTGGCATACCGTTTCTCGCACACATAGGACCTTGTAGAACAAGAGCCTTTGCAAAACTGTCATGTTTGTAGCTGTGCCAGTGCTAGAAGCAATGCACACCAGCACAAGGTTATTCCTTCAAGTATTTTTAACTTTATTTATCCCTTGTTTACAACCGTCAACCCGTTTCAAAAAACAAGTCTGTGATGTGGCATTAGCTATTCACATAGTCGCTCATGGCCATGAGCTCCAAGCCACCATAGGCACCAATGGTGTGTAAGACCTTCGGCACCTATTTGCGTACCAGCAGAGAATTAATCAATTGCATGTTCGTTGTGACCTATGCGTTCAGATGTCGCCCCTTTCATGCGTTGGGTGTCAATGATTCCAACCAACTAACAAAGGCTACTATTTTCTCAGTCTCTCCTGGTGACTTCTACGGAGGCTAGATGTTTGGAGAGAAACACTCGACAACAGTCTAAAAGTCCGCTGTGGAAGGCAGCCCGGCAGACCCGACTCACAGCCTCCTGCTTTGGGGATGCTGCCACACGAGAGAGCTGGACTACGAAAGGCCTCATCAACTTGACTTCACCCAAGGATCTCTCTCACGTCCGTGCAGTCAGGTGATTATAAAATTTCCTTGGAGGAAACAGCTCTTGAATTAAAGCTTACATTAGAGCGTCACTTGGCGTGTTCGGACCCTGGGGTGCCCACAGTTTGGCGGAAGCCTATTGCTGGGAAGGCATTATGGCAGAACGAACTTCCCTCCATCCGAAGGAGTGGTGAACTTGTTCTGTGCATCTGCTTCTTCTCATAATTTACAACAAAAGAGAACACCGGTTTATATAACCAAGATGGCGGTGCTATCGACGCTATTTATGATGTATACACATGAGGGAGGTATTTCTGCAGAGAGTACCAAGTATTTCGTTGACCTGCGAGGGGGGAAAGCCACAAGGAGGAGGAAGTAGTGAGGAAAATCTGAGCGGGTGCTCGCACGACGGAATCGCATGTCTTCGGTGTCTGAAGTTCTTGTGCTCTCATGAGTCTGTTTGTGACAATCGCATTCTCAAGGCACAAAAGGAAGAGTAAAAAAATAAAAAAAAACCAAAGAAAAGTGCTTTGCAGTTTATTGCAACTGCCGTTAGTCCTTTCCCAAAAGGACGGTGCCTTCCTGTTTTCGAGAATCTCTCGGAAGACTGTGAGCCACCTACAGAACCTTCGTGATTAACGTTTAGCTCTATCCGCGGGAAAAATATTCGTCGTGAAAGCACACCATTACTGTCATGTGTCTCATCAGTGATGAGCGATAAAACACAAAGCTCCCGATAAAGTGTCAGTGACCATGCAGCCATGACTGAGCAGTGGGTATGACTAAATTCAGTCTGAATGTGGGGTAGCCATTGCCGTGTTTGTGTCTAATTCCAGAGCCTTTTTTCAAATTCTTTCTCGGCATCCGGTTTCTGACCTTTACACGCCTTTTATATTCCAATAGGCATGGCATCAAGTATGAGCCGGTCGCCGTACAGCGCTACGAAAGTTCTTTGCGAGCCCTGGGGCATGACATCCAGACATTCCCCTGCGGCATTCTTGTTCGTCCAGACTGCCCGTGGCTTGGGGCGTCTCCGGACAGGCTCGTGTGGGATCCAGCGGAAGCGACTCCTCATGGAGTCGTTGAGGTAAAGTGTCCCTACACCCTGAAAGATGGAGGCCTCGACACTGCAGTCAATTTCTACATGGAGAAGGACGCTGCAGGCATATACCGCCTCAACAGGAATCACAAGAACTACTACCAAATCCTTGGACAGATGGCTCTCTCTGGGCTGCTGTGGGGTGACTTTGTGGTTTATTCCCATCAGTTTTTGATTGTGGAAAGAATTTATTTTTCTGATAGAAACTGGTCAGAATGCAAGGCAGCACTAGACGACTTCTACTTTTCCGTCTTGCTTCCATACTTGTGCAAAAGTCGCGCATAATTGTGTAAAGCCAGTGCTTCACCTCAGAGCAACCGTGCCATTTTGTCATGTTAACAAGCAGTCTTTTTTTTTTTTATATCTTAAAGGGATACTACAACGAAATTTCGACGCTCATTTTCTGGTCTATATCTGTTCAAAGGAGCAGTATCACATCGAACATACCAATATCTTGTTAAAAAAGCCTCGAAAAGGAATTTTAAAACGATTAGCAAAGAGCACCTGGTGGATGTCGCTAACGCCTCGCTTGTAATGCCCGTCTAGGAACCTTGACAGCTAGTGACGGTGAGTGTCTCGCCTCCGGCCACGACGACAGAAGAGGGGTAGGAGGAACTTCCCTCTTCTCGAGATGCCTTTTGTGTGTCGCAGAAGTCGCTATCGTCCCCCTACAAGATTAACCTGTCACTCAAAATTCGTACAAAAGCAGCCGCTTCAGTGGCTGGAGCGACTAGGCCATCCTCTCGACGTCAGCCTCTCCGTAGCTTTGCTCGTCCCAAGACGACCCATGTCACGTGGTCTCCGCTGGGCCTTCTCCGAGCGCTTGCCAGAGTCGGCCGTTTATAACGAAAAATACAGCCACCAGGCTCAAAATACAAACGCGCGATTGTCATTTACGGATATTGTGGATCATATTCAACCTATTTTTGAACACGACAGGAGTATTCCCAATTTCGTTGAACTATCCCTTTAAACACAAGAGACAGATTGAGTCATACATGTTCAGATATGTCGACTACAAATTTGTCTCGGGCATTATTGGCATTGTTTTCTTTTCATAATCTTTTCATAAAACATTTTTCTGCACTTAGATATGTACTTTAGTTTTTCAATCCCAAGTCAGTCACGAGCAGTAAATACAAACACATCCATTCTCATGCTTAAATAGTTTAATGACAGCAGTAATTATCTTATGCTCATGCTTAATTTATTATTTCTAGTACAGCTGTCAGTAACCAAGTGAACTTCTGAATAGATTATCCCTATGTGCCATGCAGTAAAAGTTTCCTTTATACCTCTTGCTGAACAGACACATTAATTAATTCAGTTCAACCATTTGCCTTTTGTGCGTAGAATGAGTTACCTTCCTGAATTCATTGGGATCGTTACGGACATTGCACTGTCTCGTGAAAAGCTTCCAAATGTTTCTATATACTGTGTTTCCATGCTAGTGTAGAGTTCTTTTATGTGCACGGATCTGTCTTTGGGTGGTGTCACCCACACATTTTGCGTGAAAATGCTTTTACTGTTTATTTTGTCCGCGAGCATGTGCTCGAACCCCCATCTCCCTTCCCAATCTTCTCACTTTGGTACTACTACAGCACTATTTTGTTCCTCGCAATTTCTTTGCATTTTTCTCTCAAGCGCGCTGTCAGCGTCGGTAACTACGAAGAGTGGCAAAGCGCACAGTGACATCTCAAGCACGTTTCTACCTGCCTTTTGTATGCCTTGTAGAACGCTCACTCTTTGACATCTTGCAGTGCAGGTGCATAACTTCAGCTACTGCACCAAGGTTCTTCTGGTGTGCAAATACCTCCATTTAAAATGTCGCGGACATTTCGGTTCCAGCATAATGCATTCTGAAATAAAATAGCCAATAGCCAATTCCTTGAGAACTAGTGAAAAGAAAAAGAAGCAATTATGAAATGAGGGAATGCGTGTTGCAGGGAAGCATCAATACCAATCGCCAAGTTCTATTTTTCGAAAGGAGAGTAGCAGCAGCTTTGATAGACCAGTGCCATTTTTCGAGGATGAAACTTGAATAAAATTGTCAGCATTTTAGTGAGGTTGTAGTGGCAAATGCAACACTTTGTCGTGTTTTTTTAAATAGATTTGTTGTATGGTGCTGGTGCAGACACCTCGAGAAGAAGTGACAAGACTGGGGCCTTGTTGCTCACAGTATTTTGCTTCTGTCTTTTAGGGTAAGGGCCCATTCACACACTTGCAACTGAGTACGACCGACTGAGACAAAAACCGGTCTTTAAGCCTCTTGCAACGGCTTACAACTGGATGCGCTGCTGTTGAGCTGGTCGCAAGCCATCACAACAGTATTGAAAACCAGCCTTTCCTCGGTTGGTTCTAGTCAAATGCAAGTGTGTGGGCGGGCCTTAAGAGGGGTCACACAGCAGCACCTACATCCACTTTCTCCTCATGTAGTTGACAGCAGCGCCACATCCGGTCATCTGTTTTGTTTTTGCGAGCCATAACACTGTAGGTGTGCTCCGTGGTACGTCACGAATGGTTGAACTCGTGAGCAGATGTGCCGCTGAGGCTAACCAAAGTATGGCTCGGACTGCCCCCCCGAGTACAGGGTTGCCCCAGAGCACAAGTGTGTAGTGAAATGTACAGTATGGCTAGGACTGCCCCCAGAGTACAGGGTTGCCCCAGAGCACAAGTGTAGTGAAATGTACAGTATGGCTAAGACTGCCCCCAGAGTACAGGGTTGCCCCAAAGTGTAGTGAAATGTACATATGCAAGGCACAAGCCTAGGCTGTAACATATGGTCGACGCCAGGCTAAACAACTAAAATGTGAAAAGCTCCATTCTTATGTTCATCTATCGTGCTGTGTTCCACAGTTCCGCTGGGGCATGCCAGATGCCCGTCGTTGGTTTGGCACGTAAAACCCCCAAGTTTGACTTTTGGCAAGATATGTAAAACACGTAGAGACAAAGTTGAAGGAAAGCTTTATGGTGTAAGGAGGACCATTGACGTCCTCAAACGCTTAGGCAGAAATTAAGCAAAACGAATACAGCTAATCCAGAGCAGTGCTACCATCCTCATGCTGGCGTAACAGGGGGCTCTGAAAGTTTGTCAGTATCGTGCAAATGGTCCATATTTCATTCACTACTGGCCCGAGTGACAGGGGGATGGCACGATCAAAAATGTGAAAGCTTTTGATTCGCTGTATTCTCCTTTCCACGTGTATGCGAAGTGATGCAATGCTCTCAGTTTCTTTGACTTGAGTCTCCGTGAATGTACCCTGGCCAAGAAATGGAGGGATATTGAGCTGTACATTGATCTTCGCCAGGAGCTCGGAAATCAAAAATCCTTTATCGGCCATGACCGAGTCATTCTCATCAAAGGAACGCTCCAGAAATCCGCTCTGCCGTACGCATTCCTTGTCCGACATTGACCCCAAAAAGAGTTGCGACACAAATGTCACAGCTCCATCTGGAGATATCCCTACGAGTCCCTTAAAGGTGTTCGTCGACTTGTATGTCGAAAAGCTCGCGGATTGAAGCACAAGGGAGCTCGGCACTTGGCACTTGATCTCGGTTGCATCGAGGATAACCCGTGTTGTTGGATACTTTTCTTTAAAAGCAGGTGGCATGTCCTCGTCGACCTCCTGCCGTGTTGCCCACAGGGGAAGTTGTGATAGGTACAGGTAGAGGTAACTGATCCACGTTATGCAGAGTCTTGACACCGTGGAGACTGAAATCCCAAATCGGTACGCCAAGTCCTTCTCAAGAAGGCCAAGCCGAAGGCGGACTAACATTAAGAAGAGCTCGTCGTGAGGGGGCAAGCTTCGTGGTCGCCCCTGTTTGCTGCTACCTCGGGAGTAGGAGGTTGACCACACCTTGATGTTTTCACCGTTGCTTCCAGGATTCACATACTTTAGCAAGGAAAGGTAGGCACCATAGTTTGGCAGTCCCGTGTAAAACAGCACATCATCGGGGCTGTCCTTGAAACATTCTATTGAGAATTTTCGGCTCAGTTTCTCTTCCATTTTCTTCTTCGATTCTTCTAGAAGTTCAATGTGCCTTGTTAATTTTTGGACCTCATTTCTGGCTTCAGCGAGCTCTTCTCGAGCTTCTTGGAGATCAGACGTCAGCTGACTCACTCGCGCAGCTTGTACGGCGACTTGCCCTTGAAGTCCTGCAGCCAGCACGCATACCCCTGGATGTGGTGGAGGCTGGTTCTCAAAAGCTGCTGTGCTGTCGCATTCATCGTCTGCAGCAGCAGCAATCATGTTGATGGGGTTGCTTACTGGTTGAGTGTTGCGCCTCTGAACTTTTCTTCTCGGCACTTTCGGAGCTGAGAATCGGAATGTGCTGGGCACAATCCCTTCTTTTAGGAACTTCCTGCCATTCACGTAGCCAGGCAGGAAGTCTTTGTCCTTGAAGTGTTTGGAGCACACTTTTGTCGACTTGGAAACCTTGAAATGCTTCCCTTCATCTCTCCTTATAGCAACAATCCACTTCTTGAACAGCCCCTTGTCCTTTGGAAAGCCGAAGTAGGAAACCTGCATAATATGATTATATAATTAAAATAATGCAGGTGCAACATTGCAAAGCACACATATTCTTTTCTGGCTGTTATACTAAGAGATGTCTTCTTTAACAGCTATCTCTCTCTTTATGAACAACTGAGTGTATTGAGCTATAGGAACTGACGTGATAAGCTTTAACAGATTATCTTGTATCCCTGTCGGTTTGTCTCAACAAGCAAGCTGCTTAAACTGCCCTAATAAAGTCATGCTTTCCATTCCACCCATGTGTATATTTGATTTACTCTACAGTGCTGCCGTCACCTCACTGTTCAATCATTCATTCATTAGTTTATGTCATGGCACACAAACATGACTGTGTAACTGGCCTGCAATGTAATAGGGTTGTAAATGAGGGGGCTCTATGCTAAGGGCAACCTTCTGAGGCAACGTAGTTCCCTCTGCGCTTCCAGCACTCTTTAAAGCTGTTATTCACTTTGCGAAAGGAAATGGTCCCTGGTATAGCAGATAGTTGCTGTACTGCTTCAGGTCAGGATTCACAAGCATGCTTCACAGTGACGCACCATGAATCCTGCCAAGAAATTCTGGGTTGGCGTAACAAGGACGGGCGCGAGCAGTCCTAGCGGTGTGCATTTCTCGAGCGACTGCTTCTGGGATCTGGCGTGACAAGAACGAGCGCGACTCGCGAGCAGTCCCAGCGATGTACACTTCTCGCGCGAGTACTTGTCCAGGCAAAATATTTTGCAAAACTACGCCCTGGTGCTCGTACCATCGATTGAACTTTACACCACTGCACCGCAAAACGTTGCTACAAATAAACTCCCAGTACTCGGTAAAGTTCTCAGATATTCCCGCGGCTACAAAGAGTGATATTTGCTTTGCGAAAGATCACTGGTGCAGCTCAACTATATTTCAAGATTATGCTCCGTGGACGCGAGTTATCCTTTTATGACTTTGTAGTCGAAAACATTCGTCATGAGTGCTTTCGACTACGAAGCGGCGAACACACGCCCGATACTTTTGAACGTGTTGACCTATGCAACTAAATCGAGCAGCGTGAGTGCAGCTGACTTTTCAACCAGACCTTGCAACAGGTTAACTTTGATTTAATGTGTTATCAGCGTCCTAGTGCAGTTCCTTTGAAACTCTCACCCCGTGCGAACGGATGGCGGCTGCCTCTTCCGCGCGGATCTGCCTAACCCCATTTATATTAATCCTAGCATTTTTGGCATGCATCTTCACAACCATAAAGTACTATGTTCACAACAATGACTTACCTTATTTTTTTCTTCATCTTTTGGTCCTCTTTGGCTGCATTGGGGGACGCAGCAGTGAGTCGGCATCTCACCAATATAGCACTGAGCCGAGCGGTGCGAAAACTCGACGACGCAGTAATGGCGGATTTTGTGTAGTTCGCTCGTTTGGCACCAGAGGCGCTCACTTTTGGGAAGGGCCTATTGATCCGGCTCCTCACGTGATCGAATCTCGGCGAATTGCGGCGCAGCGGCAGGTGGAAAACAAACGCCCAACTGTGGCTCCCGTAGGGATCCTATACAGGAACTCTAGAGCGAACAAGTATGTTTCGGTTCCTTCCAGCTGCATAAGCTGTGTGTGCGCTTTCGTCCAGGTTCCCCCAGAGCCGTATAGTGGGAAAGTTTCTCCAATAGGCAGAGCAAAGGCCGCCGCCGGAGCCGAATATTCCCCCTGTGGTTGGAGCGTAAACTAAATATGCGACTACGCGTCATTTCTAATATGCGACTACGTCACATATTAGAAATGACATTTAAAGCGCAAAATAGAAGCGTTCAATTTCGCAGCAGCAAGACGACGACGACGACGACGTTGAGAGGATGCCACACTGGGCGTCGGTGGTGCCTCAAGCTAAGCCCTGGGCCTCGGTACCTCGGAGGCGGCCGCTTTCTGCTTTAACTGGGCTACCCTCTTGGAGCCTGATGGTTCAACCCCAGTGAGCGACAGCACCATCATGCTCCTGGGGCTTCTTTGTGCAACCGTGCACCGATCGAAAGGCTGGCTGCAGATTCCCTTAGCCCGCTGCTAACCCCGCCTCAATCAAATGTGGACATCTTCAAATCGGACTGACATCCTCCGCAATCGCAACAATCCATCTCGTCGTCATTTTGCAAATTTTATTAGACGCGGCATTGAGGGCCTGCATGATACGGGCCAACGTTACTAGAACCCTCAGTTGGGAAACTCACCGTTGAAACTTGGGCCGCTGGCGTCCACCGAGAGCGAGCTAAATACAACAACAGCGACATTCTTTATCATTTCTTTTTACTGTGGTCACCATGAGCTTTTAGAAGGCATGTTTTTTCCTAAAAATCAACTAATAAAACTCCTTTTCCAGTAAATTTTATTTGAGTTAACTAGAAAATGAAGGGCGCGTGATGTTTTCTCAAATCTTTAGTTTGCAAGGTTTTGCAGCACAATTAATATTGTTTTTATACAACCATGCCTCAGCGGTTATTTCAGGGGTTGCGCCTTTTGCGCTTTTTGGACTCCCACGGCGACTACGGAGAAGGAAGTGACATCAACAAGGCGGCAAACGCAGATTGGATGTTGATTGGTGAGAACCAATCAACATCCTATTTCCGTTTGCTGCGTTGTTGACGTCACGTCCTTCTCCTTAGTCGTCGTGGGAGTCCAAAAAGCGCAACATAGGGCCCCAGGTAGCGAGTCCCGACCTAGGTGGATCCTAACTTCGGTAATAATTCACGGCGCGTCCGCTTGCGAGACGGGGGTGGCAACCCTGAAATCCCTTCCACCGTATCTGTTTCGGCGCCAAAATGGCTGATTAAAACAAAAGTAGAAGTCACGTGCAGTTCCTTGAGTGGCCGCTGCGGGAAGAAATGGCGGCGTTGTGATCGCCATTAGCTCGGTTCGCGAGTACGGATCGGCGCCAAATTTTCAGAGCAGTCTCTATGGCAGTTTCCCAACTGAGTGGTTCTAGACACGCTGGTACGGGCTCTTGCCTTTCCGCTGTGCCGCGGCTCTTTAGAACCGAATAAAAACATTACCTTACATTACATTAGCACTGATCGCAACTACGCAGTTTGCTGTAGTTCTAACGCGCGTTCGTTTATTCTACCGTTGATTATGGACTTGACAAAAACTTCACACGCGCCAAGTTTTCGGTCACTAAAAGTTACACCTTTTTACTCTAGCGACGCTGAAACGGCTTAAATTAGTCGGGTCGCATTTTTAGGCTCACGACCGCCGCTAGGGATTGTTTCCCGGCATGTGGTTGGCCACGAGATGCTCGCCTATTGAAACCAATGGATGGCCAAACTCTGCCAACAAACAGCACTGGGTTCCCCCGAGAAATGGCTCTTTGATGCCCTCTGCTACCAGATCCTCAAACTCCAAGTCTGCGACGCGGCACTCTACGGCTCCGTAGTCGAACTGCCAGGCTTTGTGAGTATAGAGGAGGTTATTGCAGTGGAGACAAGGGCTGCGTTTCAAATCTTACCGAAATAGATTCGAGTTACTCCGGCGGGTCGTGTCACGTGATAACATAGATGGAGCGACGCTGGACGTGGGTAACTTTTCGAACAGGAAGCTACATAACCCTTACTCTGGAGTAAGACCGAGTAAATTTTGGCACAATGCCAAGGGAAGCTTTTGTCTCCACTGTACTGTTTGAACGTGTTAGAACGCGAAACGCCGCCAACCGCCGTTCGGCGTTCGCGTTAAAACGCGCAAGAGTGCTATCCAGATAAAGACAACTAGTTTGTCTATACCTACTAATAATTCCAATCAGTGCTCGGCGTTCTGGTTTACGCGCGGGCTGTGGTCTCATCTTCTCTATCAGTTCCAGCTACATAGATTTTATCCTGTTTAACCAGTGCTGTATGCGCGTTGCTCCAAAACAGCAACAAAAGCTCATTTCAAGTTCTTTCTCAATCTTGGAACGGGTTTCCCTTACAAGTTCCTGTATTTCAAAAGGAACGCCTTCCCGTTTCTTTTCTAAGATCTGAATGAGTCGTTTCATTAGCGTTACGTTTTTCGTAATATAAAAACATTTATTGAGGTGGATAATACCTGCATAAACTAAAGCAAACACTTAAAAATATCAACATCAACCTACATGTCGAGGAGTCACAATAAGATATATGAAGACTTTGTTTTCGACTATCCTTCGGACAGTTCTCCATCACTTAAAGTGGGAGGTTCAAGTAGTTGCTAATAAAAGTAATAAATTCCTACTAAATTCGGGTAAAATTTCAAATGAAAAGCTATTCTACCTGTCGTTCCCAAAAAAGGAAAAAGCTTTCGCGTTCCAACTCAAAGGACGTAAAATGGAACGACCGACGTTCCTCCAATCCTCCTAAAAGGAACGCGTTCTGGAATGTCGTTCCTTGGAGTGGCGTTTCGTACAACGCTTTGTTTAATTTGCGTCATCAGCTTGTAAATTAGCTGGAGAAAAAATAGCGTAATAATTCTGTTTCTTTAGCGGTTTATTTACGTAACTGCGACAGCCCTTGGAATCATACGTTTCGTGTTTGCGATATATTAACATTGTATCTTAAAGTTCCTTTACGACCTAGTTTATTCAGAGGAAAGTTGTTTATGGAATTACAGCTAGAATCACGCTTAAAAGTAGCACAGTTGTGCAGTGGGAGAAATCTTTATACATCAAATGCCTTTCGTCGTATTTATGCGCTGTGAAGTTATTTACAACAGGCGCTTGATCTTAAATGAGTAGCATTCCGTGTTTACGGAGTATGTTCTCTGTGAATCTCGAAGGGTGTTTTTGGAGTGAATTTTTCGAAAAAAAATGTCGGTGTTTACCGGAGTTTTTTTTGCTTGGTTTGGTATACTTAAAAATATTAAAGTTTATTTTCCCCATTTTCAGTTATTCAAAATTATTATTACAAATAAAGCAAATACAAACAAAACAAATCATAAATTTACCTGCATCAAGTATATATATTCGCCTGGTTTTTGCATTGGCACTCACGCCATTGGAAGTAACTGTAGTATCTCGGGTTGTTCTAGACTTGGTCTGGAACGGTTGGTGAGAACACTAACATTTTATTTCGTTAACTGATTATTACTTGGCCAAATTTATAATAATGATGAAAGAGTGTTGTCGGCGTCTGTTCAGGCCGCTGGTCCCATGTCGTCTCGCTGCTCACTCCGTCTCGTCTTCCTTTTTTCCTCTGTCCGACTTCTTTTTAAATCCTCGTGCTGAGGGTTACCTCGCGATGGCGTGAACTGGTGGAATCGCGAGGCAATACGTCAGCCAGATGAGACAGCAGTATTGGCAGTGCTATGGGGTGATTGCCAAGATGTTGTCTAATGTGGTGCAATGGATGTTGCGCGGACTTATGTAAGCGTGCGGCAACATTCGTCGACGACGCAGCACTTGAGCCGGGTAAGGTAACATGACGCTCTCCGGGGCCGCTCGATCGAGTGGAGAAAAGTTCTCTCGGGAGCCGCTGGGTCGGTGCGTGCGTACGTGACCACAGTACTCCCTCCCCAGAGAGTAGGCGAACGTTTAGAGACCACCGTTATCCGAGCCTAGGCTTTCGACTCGCCGCGGGCGCGCGAGTGAGGTGTGCAGCAGCTGTTGAAGGAGCTGCGATGCCCAGACGCTGTGGCCAATGCACGTGGCGACCGGAGCGTGTCTGGATCTTCGTCGGGCGCTGTTTGTCCGGGGCGATGATCTGTTTGTGGTCGGGTGGAGAAGGAAGAGGCGAGGTTGGCGCGAGCGTTGTTTGTTTAGGTGGCACTTCCGAGTGGGGTGGTGCCGTTGCAGAAGTGTCTGTTGGGGCGCCATCTAAATAAGCTGCTTTAACGCGATCTAATGCGGCGACCTCGGTGCGACCACGAATTGCAAGTGTGATGTTTTTTGAACCTCGCCTTAACACCTTGTGTGGCCCGTCGTAGGGCGGTTGCAGGGGCTTTCGCACGGCGTCATTTCGCAGAAAGACATGTGTGCACGTTGCCAAGTCCTGGCTGAAGAAGGAGGGTTGGCTGGGTTTTTGACGGGGTGCGGTGGCACGGATGTGTGTCATAGCCTCCCGCAGTTGGGTCACGTAGTTGGTGGAGTCCAGACAGGCGTCGGCTTGTGTGGATGTGAAGAATTCGCCGGGGAGGCGAAGGGTCGTACCGTAGACCAACTCTGCTACGCTGCAACCGAGGTCAGATTTGAGGGCTGTCCGAATGCCGAGGAGAACGAGGGGCAAAACTTCCATCCAATCTTGACGTTGATGGGTCTTGAGGGCGGCTTTCAGCTGGCGATGAAAGCGCTCCACCATGCCATTGCTGGCGGGGTGGTAAGCAGTGGTGCGAATGCGCCGAGATCCCAGCAGCTTAGTGAGGCTGGAGAAGAG